GGTTTTTCCAAAGTGAGACAAATCAGAGCAAATTTGCGTCGCCAAGTTACCTTCTGATTTCAAACAATGTGATAAAGTTTATAGTAAGTGCCGTCTCAAATTAGCTTTATAGATTCAAACTTATTTTTTACGATGAATGCATACAAAGTATAACCAAACAAATAGTATGGCTAAATATATTCAAGATAGTTACCGGTATTCAAGCGCACCCCTCATTTCCCCACTCACCTGGAGCTGTTGGCTCTGGAAGCCGAAGTCTCTCAGTGATAGCATGCATTTCAATCGGGGTAAATTCGAAGTACTTCGGAGATGATTCGCTATTCGTAAGCCATTCTTCGCCAACACCTCCAAGTCGTACAGAAAGATCATCGACAATGGAGTGGATTTCCTAGAAACCTGAGATAAGTAAAGCTCGTAAAACGATTAGCGCTAAAAGCGCTGAAATAGCCATTGAAGTACGATTATTTTTACTAAAGGTGAATTATAGAGTACAATCACGCTAGGGCGATTTGTGGAGACATAAATCAAAAATAAATGACTACAATTTGATGACTCTTCAAAATAACAGGTGCTTAGCGGTATGGTGACGTCTGAGGGATAGATTTATGGCCCTTATTTTATGACGCTTAGTTTTTAAGTAGCAAATTGCTTCAATGAAATACAAATTTCACATCTGCAAATGAGTTTTTACATCAGGATTTTGAAAAAAAAAGCTCCACCCGACCAAAAATGTTTAAACTTGTGACACTGAAAAATGTGGTTACTAACTATTTTGCCAAAAGTACAGTTGCTTTTTGCAATTTTTATACAAATTAAGTGCCCAAAACAACGATTTCTCGTAGAACTTCAGTTCGCACTAGATAACACTTCCGCAAAAAACCCTCTTCAAGCTCCGTGAGGCACTCTTTCCCATGCGTAGTATAGAATGCAAGCATTATTTGAAGAAGATGCTCGAGGAGAACGTCGATAAAGACTACGCAGCAAAAAAAATCTTGCACTCTGTCACTCGTCTGCTGCAGGTAATCCATAACAATGACGACCTTGAAAAGTAACTTGCAATTTCATCAAAATCTTTTCTTATCGTAAATCGCTAACCATTGAATTTTGTCGCAAAGGTCGGAACGAATATGAGTGCAAAAATTCAAAAAAGCGAGCAGGCGGAATCGTGTATTTTGCTAAAAAATGACAAATC